CACAATAGTCACTCAGGGTTTTTTTCTTGCCATGCTGACGATTGAGTCTGGGGCTTTGTGCATGCTAAGCAAGTGCTCTACCACCAAGCCCTAAACCAAGGCTGATTTTTACATTGTTATACTTTGTATTTTTGGTGCATTTCTGACACTTTTGAAAATTTTTCTAATGACATATTTAATTTTTTTACTTCTTAAATGCCCAGTCAGTTTAATAACTTTTATTCTATACGAGGCCGTCCAAATCCATCAAAGCCAAGACAAGATTCCTAAAACTTCCACTTTTTACATAACGGAGCATTGTTTAGGTGGCTACCAAGTTTCATTTCTTCCCAACTAATAAAAACTTATGTGCCTCACCAAGAAAGTGTGTGCTCACTCTGAATTTTAAGTCTAATCCCACTGTCCTAATAGTTATACTTATTGCTCCGCAGGCAGACAGTTAAATAAACTTTTCTACTCTATCAGTCAAGTGTTTTATAATGCTTTGTCTTTACTTCATTTTCTCAACTAAACCGAATACCTAAGAGTCATTTTGTCCTCTGAAAGTTTCAGGTGATCTTTTGACCTTTTCCTTTCATTTATTTTGTTTTTCCACAAGGTTTTGAGTCCGAGTCTCGCTATGTATTACAGGCTGGCCTTGATCTCCCTATGTAACCCAGGCTGGCCTCGAACTCATGACAAGGCCTCCGTGCCTCAGGCTCCCAAGTCCTGGGATTTACGGGCGTGCACCACCATGCCTGGCTTTCTACAAAATCCTTATATGTGCAGCTTTGTACTTAAACATCCACCTTTTCAATCAGCAAACTTCCTCAGTTCTTCTTGGGGAGGTCAAAATACATGCATTTAATATTTATAAACTGACAGGGGTAATTTCCTTCATACATTGTCCAGTTTACAATTTGATATTGAATTACGTGGCTTAAGGAGTAAATTTAATTAATTTTATTATGTTAGAGTGCATATTTATTCTTACTAACCTTTGAGTGCTCCTTAAAAACATAATAGTGTCAAATTTTAAAAATCAGTAGTTACTAAAAATATATTCCTGTAAAAAGTATGTGTGTACTGGGGCCGGGGATTTAGCTCAGTGGTTTTACCGCCTGCTGCGCAAGCGCAAGGACCCGAGTTCAATCCCTGGTACCAAAAAAAAAAAAAAACACTTAAAGCCCATTCCTGGCTGAAGCAGCTGCCTTTGTGACTTCAACCAAGCTTTAATCTCTCTGAGAGATGCGTGCTCACTGTAAAACTAGAGACTTTGTGACTTTCATGCCTTTCAAATATTTTTTTCAAATTATAGAACTTTTGAAAGATCTTTTTTGTGTGCAACTGTTACTGAATAGAATAGAGGCAGTTAGAAATGGAGTCCCCAGGCGCTCCGTGGGTGGAGGCTCTGAAACTGTGGCTCCCTTGTCACCTCATCTTGTGATGCCCTGGAAGCTTAGATTTCTGTGGGAATGGAAACTACCAGTTAGGACAGAATTCTTCTCCTAAGCATTGCCATGTCATAGGGTTTCCCTGCCTCCTTGTGTTCTTGAAAAATGAAAAAGTACAAGTGAAGTTACAGGTGGGCTCCCTTTATTAAGATTGGATTTTGAGGATCCTCCACTATCTGAAGCAGAAAGACATGTTTTTATTTAAAATATATATTTTACTCAAGAGCTAATATAGCTTTTGATTTTAGCATTAAGCATAAAGTGAAGATTTACAGTTTATTAAGATTTTCTGTTTCCTCCAGCAACATCCATGTACACGCTTCAGGAGTCTTTGGTGGCACCTGCTGTCTAACACAGCAGGACAGTGGTTGATGTCTGATCAAGCTGCTTTTTTCTCTTTTCCCTCCATAATCTTTTCCAGGAACTGTATTAAGCCATTCACCCGGAGATCACAATTCTGAATTTCTACTAAGGGAAATAGGAGAAAGCCGTGTAATCCAGTGAGAAAGCAGTAATTCACTGGAAGGGCATTTTTAAAAAGTCACTTAATGTTTGCCAGCTTTCACGTGCGGGCAGAGCCACCACATCTCCCCACTGGCCAGGACAAAGCGGGGGTCTCTGGTAGTCAAGCCCTCCACGTGAGCTTTTGGGCACTCCCCCTCCCATTGTTCTGGTCCCTCCTTTTGCCCTTTGACCTTTCATCTGCTGCTACACTCTCTCCCCAAAGCAGTTTCCCTTCAAGTCATTTACGTTGAAAAGTAATCAAGGGCCACTGAAAGGCTGGATGAGAATTTAAGAAAGAGGCAGCAACTCTATGGCTGGAATAGAGGGAACACCTTCTACTGGGTTCTATTTAAGAGGATGGAAGAAAAGAAGACCTCTACTTAAATTTGTTATGCACAGGGGCTGGGGATTTAGCTCCATGGCACCGCGCCTGCCTCGCAAGCCCAAGGTCCTGAGTTTGATCCCCGGTACCAAAAAAAAAAATTTTGTTACGCACAAGTGTTCTATAGTGAGCAGAGATTTCTTCGGTACAGAGCTAGGGATGTTGCTTAGCAGTAGAGAGAATTTTTAGCATGTGTGAGGGCCTGGATTTAAACCCCAGCACCAAGAAGAAAGGGGGAAGGGGAGAAGGGGAAAGGAAGGAGAGAAACCAAAAGCCAAGAAACAACTGAAAACCAGGATTCCTTCAATATAAAAGTAAGCAATCTTTCCAGAAGGGCATTTCATTTGCATCTAGGCAAAATTTATGTTATGAAATTATCTGCAGATACAGCATAAAGACATAAAATCTGTTACCTATAGGGGGGACATATTTAGAAGAACAGCTTTGGGGGAAAAGATAATAACATTGTATTGTAGGTCCTTAATTCAAATCTTGAAAAAAATGTGATTTACATTTTACATAGTGTTTACTAATGGCAATTCGTGATTGTTTCCGCATAGGCTTTTCCTTTCATCTGTTACTGAGTTATTCTTCAAGCACTCATTTGTAATGGTGTTGTCCCAGAAGTATTATGGGAAATTATTCTCAAAGTACTGGGAAACCTCTGAGTCAGAGGTTCTGGGTGTCTTTACATCTAGCTTTGTAAAGGCCCTGGATAACCCAGTATCTTTGCCACTACAAAGTATATGTGATGTAGTAGATGCTATCTTAGACCTTGTTAAGGGCATTAGAAAGAATATAAGCTTTTTTATACAAAAGAATTAAGTAAGCACACTCTAGATAGGAATATTTGCAATATAGTTCAAAAATATTTCCATACATCCCATAACTGAGCAGATAACTATAGTTAATCATGTTTCAAAGATTACTCCTGGCAGAAAGTTACAGTTAAAAATCTATATCTTGTTTTCCTTCTTTCCACATCTACAAAGAGATGACTCAAACTAGTCAAGTTTGAAAATTGGCTTTAATCTCTCATGCATTTCTTTTCTTATGGAAAGTCCCTGAAATCTTTGTATTCATATTAATAAAGATTTGGTCATGGGCGGAGGATTTAGCTCAGTGGTTCTGCTGCCTGCCTTGGAAGCGCAAGGTCCCAAGTTTGATCCCCGGTACCAAAAAAAAAAAAAGATTTGGTCGTAATCCAGGCAGTATTATATTATAAGTCTTTTGCCCTTAGAATTTTCCCATAACATTATCACAACACTACTTTCTCCACTTATGTATTGATGATTCTCTGCTGAAAAATTCATATCCCGGAGTATATGTCAAATATCTAGTTTTCCAATACTACAGAATGGAAAGTTCATCTTAAGGAAGAATCCATTAAATTGAAAAAATTATTAAAGTCAGGTGTAGCCTCTAAAATTCTTATTTACAAGTCTCATTTTCTAAATAATATATCATTCCCATGGTACTGTCTCTTAACTTAACACAAGTAACATTTGATTTATTTCTGATGTAGCAAGAATGGCAAGAAAATAGAACTAGAGAATTGAATGAAGTTATATTGCCAAATTTATGAATTGAATTTAGATTGAATTCTGAAATAAACTATAAATTGAAAATGGCATCCCTTTCCTTTGCTTGGTTAATATATTCTGTGTTCAATATTTGTCCTTATATCAAATAAAAGATATGAAAACATAAACATCCCAAATGAAAAATATATTTTCTCCTCGTTTATTCATGTTTCATGGCTTTGAAAACCGGAAAGAGTCTGTTTCTTTTTTCTGGCTCATCACTTTATTTCTGTGTTCCCTATGAAACTCTCAGCCTACACATTCAAATTCTTCTTGAAAAATAAACCCATCGTCAGCTTCTCAGATCTGCGACCACAAAACGCAGGATGGTCCAATGATACTTAGTCTAGCTCATAACCTGTCACTTGACAACTGTCATTTTAAATCTCCTGTTGTCACTGGTTTGTCTTTTGCCCTCAGGAAAAGCTCCAGATTCCTCAGCATAGAATACAAGTACACAAATCAGTTTGATTCTGGTCCAGTTCTACAGCCTCGTGTCTTGACACTCAGCCTATTCTGACCCTTAGCTTCGGCATATGGATAATCTGGATGACTAATAACTGCCCAGTGCTCTTCTATCCCTCTGCCAGTATGCAGGCTCTTTCCTCTTTCTGCTGTAATTTATCCTTCCCCTCAGGTGTCAGTATACACACCACCTCCATCAAAAAGCCTGCAGTATTTTTGTACAAAATTGAGTTACAAGTACCTCAGAGTGTTTCAGCAGACTCATTTTATCAATGACTGCATGGAGAAATTGCCTGTTTGTCTGTTCTGGGGGGAGGATGGGTGTAGTTATTGAGGATTAAAGTATATCATCTTCCTCCTGTCAGTCTAATGCTTGTCCTAGTAGCTTAGCACGATTGTTGAATAAATGAAGAATGGGTAAACCAGAAGCTCTGATAACCACACTAATTAATTTAGTGTGCTACTATGAGCAAATTATATTTAATAATAATGTTGAATTTTGGTTGAACATACCTGCTTTTTCTTATTAACACTAATAAAATTCTAAACATCTTTTTTACTGGCTCGTGCTTAGTTAATGAAATCTATGAAATCTTTTATGTAGATAATACAGTTAATTCTTTGTCTTTTCAGATCCTGCTGAATTTAAATCTGGATTCTTTCGAGCTAGGTTCCAAAAATAAGTCAAAATAAAAATAAGTCCTCAAGATCTACTTTTGGAAACATCACAAGAATATCCAGCTCCTTTAAAGGAAAATATGATCTGAAAGATAAGATTTTTATTTATTGGATTGTTTATACAAAATTTTGTTGTCCATTATATACTGTGAAAACTTTGAAGGAAAAATATTTTATATCCATATATGTATAATGAAAATTCCTATAATATCTTAAACTGTTTCTTGGCATCTACAAGTTCTGAGCAGATTTTATAAGTAAAAACCAGTATTGAGTTTTCCATATTCATATTGCTTAAATGCTATTTAGCACCTAAACAACCAAGTGGTAATTAAAACTTTGGTGGAGTTAAATATCAGTTTAGTGATGACTTTATTCTATTTTCTAATTTTTTATCAATAAAGATTTAGACAGACATCATTTTGGTGTACTGATGACAATTGTCTGAGCAGGTTCTCAGCAGCATAGAGACCACTAGTGTGAATTCAAGGTGGTGGAGACAGTTGAGCCCGCACTTGAGCCTGTGCGGTCATCCAGCGTGTGGGTGCCCCTTTGATGTCAGAGGACCCAAAACATCAGGAAACAGATCCCTCATTAGCTAGATAATTACTGAAAATTCTGACTTATTAGGATTTGAGGAAAAATACTGCTGTATTTCTCTCTGTTTGGCTATTGTCTTACCCAATTAAAAAATCCCATCTTGGCTGAAGTTTTTCTCTTTTCTTTTTCTTCTGCATTAAACTATTCTCTGATATTAAATCCTTCTGATGGCATCTCTGCCATCTAATTTGTACCTTCCCTAAGTATTAGGTAGAAACTGTAAGCTCGCTCTATTAAAAAGCTCTAGCTTTTAAAACATTTTCTTACTTTGGTTGCAGATGGAATTGCATGAGAACCAAATCAAATTTCCCTATAACATCAACATTGAATCCAACCATTGAATTTGATTTGGTTTTCATCCAACTCGGTTTGTGACCAGCACTGTGAAAAAAATTAAGTTTGTGAACTGAGGTACCACTGTATTTTATAAAGAGAAGATAAAATAGAAAAGTGTTGATTCATGCAGCAGATTCTTCAATGAAACAAAACGGACATCCAAAAACAAAAATTATACCTAAGAATTTTAATGTAAGATAAAGTGGCATTTTATGTTTTTATGTTCTTAATTTTTTGCAGCTGGAATAAGCACTTTTTTAAAATGAAAATTACCCCCCAAACTATTTCTAAAAGTAAAGTAGGCATGAAGTAGCTGCCTTTTCTTTCGCAGCAAGTCTAAGGGCCTCTTCAAGAGCCAAGAGGCGCTGAGGGCCTAAGCAGGACCTGAAATACTGGCACCTGAAGTCCCAGCTGATGACTGCCTTTCTTACTCTTCATGGTTTAAAAAAAAAAAAAAAAGAGACCCTCACCCTATCTTTGTTTTGTGATAATCTTTAACAATGTCTTGATGTGTTCATTTCTAATGAAAAATAATGAGACAAAACCCTGAAACCATGTGTATTCATGGAAACATTGAGGTTTTCAGCATGAGGCGAGCACATCAAGATTGTGGTCCTGTCCAGCAGAGCAGCAGTTGTCAGCTGATACAATTTTACATGTGGTTCTTGTGCCAGGGGAGGGGAGAGGTTGGGCTGTGACAGATGCTGGAAATGTGTCCCTCACAACACAAAGCTGACCCTTTGGCCAGAAGAAGACATAAAGCAAGCTGAACAGTACTCTTTGCACATGGTTGCTGGTTATCTCCTCCCTCCCGTGTGGACACAGCAGGTAGTGTCACAGTGAGCACCCAGGATTCCAGAGCACGTGATGGTCTGTTGGCACCGTGCTGCCAAAATGCTGGGAACGCCAGCTTGGTTGGCCAGTGTCATAACCACTTGTGACACATGCATGACCACTGCAGCCAAGCGAGTTGAGTACAGCCGTGCATCTTGAAGCAAAGGGCCCTCGAGGCCAGTGCTCCTCAGCACTGAGTCCCACATGGCTGTTCCAGTGGTCGAGGCGCAGATGGCTCCTGGAAGGAGAGTGCTGGGTCAAGTAAGTTACATGGCACAACGAGCAGTCACAGAGAGAAAAATTCACAACCTCACACTTGGTGCACAGCTTGTATAGTGACAGTCTGAGTGGCCAGGGCTATCTAGGAGCACGCTTCTGGTCAGGTGTCCTGACCACAGTTTTCTTAGCCCTGTAGTGAATATGCCATTGGGAAGATCCTGGAGGGCTTCACTGTCTTGCAGGGATACCCTAGGGGAAATGGGATTACAGACCTAACACTGTTCCCTTTTTGAACACCTAACAGCATGTTACTAATAAGCCCTGGACTCTTGCCAGGTGAACCAAGTCTGAACATTCACAATACAATTCTGAAATTTTCAGGGCTACAGTGGACCCTCGAGTTACAACCACCCTGACATACAAACAACTTGGGTTATGACCAGAATTTTAGTTTTAACTTAATGACCAAAGTCTTGAGTTACAACCCAAATGCTGGCTGCTTGTGCTTCCAGTGGTCTGAGATACACATTGAACCTTAAAGAGTTCTGGAAGGAACATGACAATGTCCTTTCCTATGTGGGGTTAATTGAGAAATCCTGGGCTGATGTCTCAGGACACTGAGATCTGCCTGAAAGAAAGTGTGGCCTAAAGTTATACAAGAGAGAGGCTTTGAGGGCAGTTGACCAACTTGAGTTACAACCAGCCTTCAGGAATGAATTGAGTTTGTAAATCAAGGGTCCACTGTGTTTAGAAACATGCTTTGCATGTGAGAATTGTTTTAAAGTGAAAAACAGTTTTCATTCCAAGCATTCAAAAATTGAGCAGAAACTTTGTGATCCAATCCAATGAAAAAAACCCATCTGTCATATCTGAAATGTTTGCATAAAAATACGTTCTGAAAGAGTAAAAATCAATATTACATGCAAATGAGATCTAACAGCAAGCAGGAATACCTGTGTTCATATGTCACAAAGCAGACTTGAAGACAAAAAAAATGGTCAGAAGAAACAAGCCCCCTACATAGTAAGGGAACAATCCGATAAGAGGCTCTGGAGTCAGTATGTAAATGGATGCACTGACCGAGTGATGCTCCAGTATATATAACCCAGGGTTAATAAAATCCTGGGGTGGGACAGTGAAGGTGTATTGCTGGCCTTGCCAATTGAAAGCAAATTGTTTCTGGTCAGCCTTATAGATAGGTATGAAGAAGAAGGCATTTGCTGTATCAATAACTGCAAGCCAGGTACAAGGAGACGTGTTAATCTGCTCAGGCAAGGAAAACACCTTTGGCAGGGCAGGTGCAACTCTTCCCTGCACCTTTGCCCTCAAAGCTGGTGAGAGCAGGGCTGTGGTCCTAGCTGGTGGCAGTGGCTGGTCATCATAACCAGACACAAACCTGCGAAGGCTTCCCGAGAGAGGACTCAAACCCCGAGCTCACCGACTGGTCTGACTCTGAGGTGGAGTCATTCTTCACTGCATATCCATCCTTACCAGTCTAATGGGTAAAAGTCCTGTGACTAAATTCAAAAATTCCACTCAGTAGTGGGGATTTTCTTGCTGCTAATGTGGAGCATGATGAACTAGTGAAAAAGTACAAAAATCTAAAATTAATAACCTTACTTTAGACCTTTTCTTGTTCAAGAGACCCAGCCCAACTAGAAATAATCATATCCTTAGCAGAAGGAAGGAATGAATAAAAATCACAGTAAGGAAAATGAAATTTAATATAAAAAAAAGATAACAAAACCAAAACTTATTCCTTTGAATGAAAACCTTCTAACTAGATTAAGAAGGACAGATTAAGAAAAAGAGAAGACTTAACAGTATCAGAAATGCCAGTGGGGTATTCCTAGGAATCTCAGAGAAATGCTTTTAAAGGGAGTAAGAGAAAATACTAAGAATTACTGTACACCAACAAATTAGATAACTTAGATGAAATGGCAAAGTGCTAAAAGTAAACAAGTAAAAACTAAAGGGTAAAAAATAAATAGAAGCAAATAAGTAAAACTGAAAAAGTGATAGAAAATAGGAACCAAGGTATAACAAGTAAAGGAGGTGCAGTATTGAATCAATGATCCAAAACCAAGTACAAACTGAAGACCAGGACTAGAGAGTGACAATGAATTATACTAAAAATTGAAGAAGTAATTACACCAATTGCTCTCAACTCCTCCAACAAATAGAAAAAGAAATACTTCCTAACTCATCCTGATAGCCCAACATTACCCTAACACCAAAGCCAGAGACATCACAAGAAAACTACAGATTGTGGCACATAAAACATCAAGAAAATACTACCAACTGGGCATGCCTGTAATCTCATCCATCACTCCGGAGGCTGAGGCAAGAGGATTGAAGCAAATTCAAGGCCAGCCTGGGCCACATAGTGAGTTCAGGCCAGCCTGAACCACATAGCAAGACCCTATCTCAAAAAAAAAGAGAAAATTCTACCAAAACATGCCTGTGAGTGTAAAAGTACCATATACCATGATCAAAAGTGACATCACAGGAATACAAACATGTCTCAAAACCATGAAATTTAATAGGCGGAGACTGTAGTGGTAGCATATCAGAGGGACATGGGGGAAAGTGATTAAAATGGTACACGTTGATCTGAAAATAAAACAAGTTTATTAAAACTCAAATTATAAACCAAAGATCCGTGAGTCCATATCTATGCAACCAAAGTTATTTAAAAACAAAGCAGAGAGACGACACTATGATTGCAAATAATCTTTGTAAAAACACCAGAGGTTCCTCCCAATACCTGACAACCACTACACCCCCTGCCAGACATGGGCAGGCTGGGAGAGACACCCTTTCCCTATTACCCATGGCCCTGTGCTGAGGCATTTCACCAAGAAAAATCAAGGCTGTGTTCTCACAGAAACCTGCTTCATTCACAGCTTCTGGATACCAAGGTCATCCCATTTTTCTTGCACAAGTTTGCTACTGTTTTGGAGTTGCTCTGGAAATAACACTAGGTCTCCTGATCATTTCACAGTGGGCTATGGTCACCATCTAGATCCCCTTCATTTAGATCGGACGTAAAATACAGAAGCCTTGTCTCTAAGGTTTTCAAGAGTTGTCTTCATGCTTGCTGCTTATTGGATTGAGCCTGTGTCAGGTGAGACTTTCTGAGCTTCCCAGATCTATTTTTCATGAATTTGTGACATTTTTATACCATGCTTTTCCTTATAAATTTTGTTTCTCACCTCCTTTTACTCCTCCCCATTCCAATGGTACAGAAGTTAAAACTTCTGATGTTGTTTTACATATCTGAGACTCTTACTTTTGTTCTTTTTTTCTTTTTCTTTGTTCTTTTGATTATCATTTACTGACCTACAATTCTCTGACTCTTGTTATTTCTCTGATGAGAACTTACTTCTTTCTATTAATTTCAAGAATATTTGCCTTTCTTGTTTGAGAATGGTTATAATAGATGCTTTGCATGATCCTTCATGTGGGTTATTCAGGGATGGATGTTGTCCCTTTCCTTGAGAATTTCCTGATTTTTGGTATGTTTTGTTGTGTAATTATGGGTAGTGTCCTGGGAAGTTTGCTGGTTGTTTTGTGAGGCTCTGGTTCCTATTATCATGCTCAGGAGAGGACTCAGTTTCCTTTTTCTCTCATCTTGCTATGCAGTCAACACAGCAGGGTCAGACTACTCACTGCATCCTGCCGTCAGTCATTGCTTCGAGATGATCCTCAGGGCTCTCCCACCCATCAGTTCTTCTGCCAATGAGTGGTGATTTTCATTATCATCACTTCCTGAAGCCTCTGCTCTGCAGCTTTGGTTTTGTTCTGTGCACACATCTCAGCATGAGTCTGGGACTTGTACTGGCTCCTACATGGATTTGAATAATCCCTTTCTCCAGCTGTTTCTTTGGAATTCTCTCTAGGTCTTTCCCCTGATAAGGGCCTTCACCCTTCCACATGACAGGTCAACTCTCAGGCAAACAGCAACAGAAAAAGAGCAAAAACATGGCAGCCATTCCCTTCACTCCCTGCAGACAATAGAAGCCTCGTTAGCTGCTCCTTTGTAGAGATAGGTGATGTGTTAGCATTTTAGGTCCCTCTGCCACTGCTGAGGCTGCAGGAAATAAAAACAAAATTCACTATATTGGTGATCTGATTGCAGAAAAGACAATGTGTTTTCTGTTATGCTTCAGGAATGAGCATGTGTGTGTGTAGAAATTTATGGCTACCTAGAATATGTCGATCATTATCCAGTCATATTTTTCCTAGTTTTTAAGCAGAGTTATATAAAACTGATGCCTAGCCATATCCTTGGTTTTGGTTCATTCTGAAAAATGAATACCCAAGCATTGTGGTGCATGCCTGTGACCCAAGTACTTGGGAAGCTGAGGCAGGAGGACTGCTGTGAGTTCAAGGCCAACAAAGGAAGAAAAATGAAAATTTTACTAGTTGAACCCTCCAGTTTCTCTGGGTTGCTCCCTTCCCCTGGAGATTGAATCCAAGGCCTTACATATGCTAGGCAAGTGCTCTACACCCTGAGCTACACCACCAGCCAGTTTCTATTTATTAAATTTTACAAAGAAAGAAAGAAAGAAAGAAAGAAAGAAAGAAAGAAAGAAAGAAAGAAAGTAAGTAAGCAAGCCAGCCAGGCACTCTGGGAGGCTGACCCATGAGGTGCAAGTCCAGGTGATATTTGTTTTTCCCACCTTATTATTATTTTGAAAAATTTTAAACACAAAGTTGAAGAAAACACAAAGGATACTCCTAGAAATGTAATTTGTTGGTATTTACCCCAGGTGTTTCTCACACAACACTTCTGCATGCATGTGAACAGTACGTGCTTGGGCTGGGCTATCTACAGATCAGCTGCACCGTGGCGCTGGCTGGCATGCGCGTCCTCAGGGGGCGGGTGTCTCAGACGTCTCTCATGCAGCCATACTGTTTCCATGGCCATTTTTATAGTTTTAAGGGAGGAATAAAAGAATTTCCACAGAATAAAATACTGGAGGCAAACAAAACTAAGACATGTACCAAATGAGGACTGGAGCTTTTTGAAGACTGACACTGGAGTGGGAGGCAGCTCAATAGCAGAGCACTTGCCTAACGTGCAAGACCCTGGGTTCCTCCCCTGGACGATACTATCCTGCTGCACAACTCATTCCACTTGCATCCTGCACAGAATTCCCTATCACATTTAATGATACAGTGTCCTCATTCATTTTAACCCTAGCTCAGTATCCCAGTGTATGGCTGCAGCATACCCGGTCATTACATAATAGCTATTCCAGCTGAGCATGGTGCCTCTGGTCCCAGCTACTTGGGAGGCTGAGGAGGAAGGACCACTTGAGGCCATGAGTGAAGACCAGCCTGGGCCACACAGTGACCCTGTCTCAAAAATGGAACCCCGGCATGGTTCACATTTCTGTAATCCTGGGACTCAGGGGACTGAGGCAGGACGATTGCCACAAGTTCAAGGCCAGCCTGGACTACATAGGAAGACCCTGTCTCAAAAAATGTATATGTATAAATAAATAACTAATGGGGGAGAAAGATACTGAAGATGTTTCCAACTGCTTTTAGTTCTCTCACTTTGTTTTATTGAATGCTCATCAATAGCATATTGAAATCCTCCATGTTGTGTTTCCATACCTTGGCTATTAAGATTTGAGGGTAGCGTTTCACTCTTCCTGGGATGGAAATGTGAATTAAATAAACAAACAAAAAGAGACAAAAGCAAAACAAAAAACTCAAGTAACAAGTAAATTATTCTCACCTTCTCCAGCATTGTTCTTCAAGAACAGGAAAGTGATTCAAATGCAAGGCAGCCCATCCCCATGGAGTTCCCTAGGAAAACCCCGTCCTGACCTTAGGGGCTGCCCATGCCTGGGTAGGTGGCGAGATTCCAGGCTCCGGTTCCCGCGCCACTGCTGCTGTAGCCAATCAGCACACACTTCCAGCTGCAGCCCACACCTGCGCTGTGTCCCGCCCACTCCCAGAAGCCTGACCTGAGACTGAACTCGAGGTATTTAATCTGTTCCTTTCCTTTTCCAGCTTCTAGAGTCTGCTTAGATTTCCTTCCTCGTGACCTGCTTCCTCCATGGAAAGCCAGCCACATGAGCGAGGCTTCCCAGACGGCCAGCGATGGGCTGAGCCCAACCAGGCAATCCGGACCAGCTCCTTGTGCCACATCGTGGACAACACCATAGGAGGAGGACCGCTCTTCCCGGCACAAGGGCCTGTGCCCAGGGAGGGCTTCCTGGAGGGAGAGACGTTTGCAGCTAGGAAGCAAAGCTGCTGCTCCAAATATTGCAGACAGCGAAGTTGGTTAGAAATTATAAGAGCGTCGGGCAGGGCTGGGCCTTCTGCATAGAAAACAGCTGAGGTCCATTTACTGAAGGATTATATCAAAGAGAGAGAAACTAGTACACCTGCATACTCCCCTAGGGACGGATAGCAGTGATGGATCTCCTGCACAGAACTCTGTCACCTTAACTGGGGACCAAGCCATCCCCGCTAGCCCCTTCCTTGTGGGAAATCCCTGTACTCTTGCTGTGGGACTTGCTTCCCCATTTGAGCTCCATTAAATCAGTATCACCGGGTGACCGTACTTACTTGTAATCTTATTGGTTGACCATGGTTTTGTCCCACCTCGTGCCCGCCTTGTGATTTTCCACTGGGTCTCACAGTTTTGTCCATTTGTACCCGCCTCACCTCCTGGCTTTGCCCCATAAAACACCTTTGAGAAGCGGAGTGGGCGGGCAACCCACTTTCTGTCCCCCTTGGGTCTCTCTTTGACAAAAGCTGTCTTTCTCTCAGGAAGTACGCCCTACTCTTAACCTCCGTTGTTCCTAGAATTCATTCTTCGATGTTAGAGAACGCGAACTCGGCATTTTGGATGTCCAGCAGGTTGGGATTATATTTCCCTGGTTTGGATTATTTTGCTTATTTGGATTACTTGGTGTCCTATATCACAAACACCATACTTTTTTTTTTAATCTTTGTTTCCAACTTTATTCCCAGACTTCTTCAGCTTAATTGGCTGCCAAGAATGAATTGTATGAAAGCAAAACCTGAAAGGAGCTGCAGTGTCCAAGGGGCTTCGGCTGAAAAATAAGAGAGGTCTAGACATTATCAGATCCACACACACAAAAAACAATTTTACAAAGCAGTCACAATATAAAATAGCAGCTCCCAGTAACTTTTTAAAAATTAATTGTACTGGTACATTTAAGGTATACCGTACTTTTTAAATCTGTGAAGAATTTCGTACGCAGCCATGCCAAGTGGCAGCTGGCCGGCAGGAAGCTCTAGCGCGCGAGCTGCCGGGCTGTCCCCAGGCGGACAGCGGCTGAATCCGCTGGTCTCCGGTGCGAAAGTGGCCACTGTGACTGCTGTGTTAGAGAACAGCCTGCCCCACACACCGTGAGCTGCAAAACAGCACGCGCAGCCTTCCTCTCCCACTCACTAGCTTTCACGATCTCATTCTTTCCACCCTTTAACTTGATTCTGTTTTCAGAGCTGGGCTCTTGTTCTCTCTTGACTCTGGGAGAGGCCGCCCGTCCTGTGGACGCCTTCTCCTGCTCCCTCTGAGGCTGCAGGCCCAAGGTAGCTGCATCACAGGTGGATGTGCCGGTCTGAGTCACTGCTTGAAACAGTCGCTGAGAGTAAACTTTTTGTTGTTGTTGGTACCGGAGATAGAACTCAGGTCTTTGCGCTTGCGAGGCAGGAGGCGGAACCACTGAGCTAAATCCCCGGCCCTGAGAGTAAACTTTTATTTTTTTGACCCATTAAGATCTCAGGTGCTAGGCCAGGGGTAGCAGGGCATGCTGGCAAGCCCAGCTACCGGGGAGGCAAAGGCGGGAGGACTGCAAATTCAAGGCCAGCCTGGGCAACTTAACCTATCTCAAAAGAAAAATTAAAAAAAGAAAAAAGATGGGCATAGCTCAGTGAAAATATTGCAGTTAGGTGAGTTAATTAGGTATCTTGCAGGCAGTTAGACAGGGCCAGCCCACAAGGAGACAACATGGAGGACAGTGAAGACACATTCACTGAAGGACAGCATTTTAAAATTTTATTTTATTGGTACATTTTAGGTGTACAGTATACTGACATTCATGATTGGAAATTTGCACCTTTACGTAATCTCTCTTGGTTCTTATTTTTCCCCCTTCCCCTGCCCTCCCTTCACCCCCTCCATCCCTCCCTATTTACAGACTTTGTTCCCATTTTTTCATTTTCTCATATTAATTCCATATGGAGTCAAGGTCTTAACCCGGCCTCTCCAGGAAATATTCCTGACCCACCCTTACTGAAAATCCCTGTACATTTGCTGTGTGACTTGCTCCTCCATTTGACTCCCATTTAATCAGTGTTACCTGGGTGACTGTACTTGTAATCTTATCAGTTGGTCATGATTTTGTCCCACCTCATGCCCACCTTGTAAATTTCCACTGGGTCTTATAGTTTTGTCCCACTTTGTTCCTGCCTCACCACATGGCTGTGCTGTATAAAACATCTTTGAAAAGTGGGGTGGGAGGGCAACCCACTTTCCCGTCCTCCTTCTGTCTCTCTTAGGCAGAAGCTTTCTTTCTCCCAATAAATTTTTCCTACTGTTAACCTCCATTGTTCCTAGAATTCATTCTTCGATTTTAGAGAACACGAACTTGAGTTTCAGATATCTAGTAAGTTTGGGAGTTCTATCTCTTCCCCTCTATCAAAAAGGCCTTGGGTTCAAGCCCAAGTACCTGAAAAATAGAAAGAAGGGGGAGGAGGGAGGAAGAGGACAGGGAAGATACCTAATTATAGATTGGTGATTTCATGCATTGAGGTACACCCACAGACAACACCAGGAAGCCACCAAAAATCAGTTCCGGGCTGAGGATAGCTCAGTGGTAGAACACTTGCCTAGTATACAGGAGGCCCTCGTTCCATCCCCAGCACTGTTTTAAAAAATCATATCCTTATGGCATTTAATAACAGGAAAATATTCACAATGTAGTATGAGTTTTAAAATAGTTTTTATATACAGCATGGTCCCACTTATAGGATTTGAATAATGTACATAGAAAAAAGGAATATTATCAGGTACTCTTAGGTAGTGAAATTATGGCTGTAGTTCTGTGTTTTTAGATAACATAAATTGTTAGGGACAACATATGATTACTGCCAAACAGTCAAAAACACAAAAGTGTTTTACATTACCTGTAACTGCATCTCAGGAAATCATGCTTTTAGAGAGGTTTTTTTTATTACAAAATGCTTATGCTGTAATGTAAGGTGAAAAAAAGATAGGAAATGTAGTGCATTCAGCACACCAATTTTATAAAAGATATATATGTAAAAAAATGCATATATTCCAACTAAATAGGAATAGCTAAAAGCATATTGATTTGGGGGTACTGGGGCTTGAATCCAGGGCCTTTGCTGCATCCCCGGCTTGTCCTTCTTTGTCTTTCTTCCTCCTCTTTACTCTTCCTTCCTCCTTTCCTTCTTAATTTCTGTCTTTAAATTTTGAGATAGTCTCGCTAAGTCACTGAGCTGCCCAGACTGCTTGAACTCCTGTTCTCCCGCCGCAGCCTCCCAGTGAGTGCTGGGATTACAGTGCACACCACTGCCTCGGCCACACAGTGCATGTTCACAATGATTCTTCTCCACCAGGGCAGGCACTTGAGTGAATTTTAGGTTTTTAAAATTCTTTCTATACTTCTCGACTTTTCTACAATATGTATATATTATTTTTTTTTAATATTTTTTTTGGTACCGGGGATCAAACTTGGGACCTTGCACTTGCGAGGCAGGTGGCGGAACCACTGAGCTAAATCCCTGGCCCTATATTATTTCCAACCACAAAACACTGCAACATCTAAATACATGTAAGTATGTGCACTCAATGTGCGCACAGGCACAGGCAATAATGCGAGCTAATAACAGCCGGTGCCACCTGCTAGAGGCAGGACTGGGCTGCCACTGGCCTGAGGGTCGGGCCGCCCTTTACCTGCAGGGACGCCAACTGCCAGGTGGGCGTCGCGGCATCTGAGAGGCAGCTTAGGGACGCGGTGTCTAACACGGAGACCTCGCTGCGGGAACTCAGTGTTGTTGACAGAATGAGCGCCAAGCCTGAGCTGGACGAAGCTCTCGGTGAGGGCGGGTCCAGGGAGCTAAGGAACCTGGCGCGCTCCTGAGCCTCACCGGTAACACAGCACCAGCTGTGCCAGGCACATCCCACGCGACCCCGCGGGCGCTGTGAGCCACCGGTGCACGACCAGGAAAGCGGGAAAGCAGCGGTGCAAACGGGGCCGTGTCCCCCATGGACACGAGGGGACACACCCGGCTGAGGGGCTGGGACCTACCGGGCCCTGACGCCGCTCGGGGAGGCGAACCCGTCTTCGCCTCCTGTTTCAGCATCCGACCTGCCCACGCGGCGGAGGGGAAGACGCCTGCCTCGCGCCCGGCCGCACTGCCGAGGACCCGCGCCGCTCTCGGGCAGCTCAGCGACGAGCTAGGGGCAGGTGAGGGAGAAACGAGGCGGGCGGGAAGACAGGCAAGGTTGCCAGAACCGCAGAGGTCCGCCAAGCAGCCTAAGTCGGTAAAGACGAGCTTCTGAAGAAGGAGGACTTGGTTCTGCTCTGGGGACAACGGAGAACCCGCCTGGAAAGCAGGGTGCGGGCGGAGCGAGCGCTGCCGGCCTCGGCGCGGCTGCCGTGGGCACCAGGGTTTTGCCCGCCGCTCTTTCCGTCCTCTGTAAACTTGTGCTGCGTGGTGGGGCTGACTGTGCCAGATAAACTGGTTGCATTAAAATACGGTCAGTGCCAAGACGAAGCCCCCAGAATTTCACGCTTGCAGCTTATTTCTGCATTTTCGAGCAGCTTAGACCGGCAGGCGCGCCCGCT